TCCTCAATAAGTCGGTACGTGACAACCAGCTCCTGCCATTGTAAAAAGAGACACTGTTAAAAAAAATCAATTTCTTATATAGTAAAGAACTTGTCTTGATGAGAGATCAAATAATTCAAGTTTTGCTTGATCACGTTCAAAAAATATTTTTGTCATTACATGATCTTACAAAAAATGAAATTAGATGTGCAATAATTCAATTTTGCAAACCTGTTATCTCCACTTGCTTCCGATAATGCCCAATTCTTCATAATTTTTTTGCCATTTTTTATAAAGTAAAACTCCAACTTAATGATCAAAACTTGTAACCAAATAACTACAACTTATTAAATTTCAACTATTACCAAATGCTGGTAGATAATTTGGCACATTGAGTAGGCCAAAATCTACGCATGCCATTGGGAAAGGGGAAAAAAAAGAAAAGAAAAGAAGATAGTGTTGAAAAAATAATCAGTTTCTACCCAGTATATAACTATTTGTAAGGGGAGGTCAAATAATTCAAGTTCAGCTTGTTGACGTTCAAAAAAATTCATGTCATTGCAAAACGTTACATGAAAAGAATTTACGGCGGTGAAATTATTTAATTTTGAGATTTTATGTATCTCCATTTCCTTCACATAGTACCATATTCTTAATAACATTTTTCCTCATTTTTGTAGGGCAAGCCAATTATTAAAAATTATAACTTCAAACCATTGATCCAAACTTGCAACCCATTGACTACAACTTAAAAAATTCCAGTTCACACCAAGCTCTGGTGGGCTAATAGGTACAACGAGCAGGCCAGCATATACGCCTACCATTAGGAGAAAAAAAAATAGTGCAGAAAAAATAATCAGTTTATGTTGTGCAAAATACTATTCATGAGGGGAGTACACATAATTCATCTTTTGCTACTTGACATTAAAAGAAATTCATGTCATTGCATAATGTTATATGAACAGATATTACAGCTGTGTAATTATTTAATTTTGTCAATATAGTATCTCCGCTTGCATCCCATAATGCCCTATTCTTAATAATATTTTTTGCTATTTTTGTGCGGAAATGCAATTATTAAAAATTAGAACTTCAACCCATTAATCAAAACTCGCAACCCGTTCACTACAAGTGACAAAATTTCAATTCTTACCGTCAATCAGAGGGCCAAGTAGAACAGTATATACGCCTACAATTGGAAAAAAAACAAAAGACGGCATCCAAAAAAAAAATCAGTTTCTATCCCGTAAACCACTATTTTTTAGCAATGTCAGATAATTCAAGTTTTGCTTGTCATATTCAAAAACATAAGAACTGGTAACTCATAATCCAAAAAACTTGTAAAATTTAAAGTCTATACCGAATCCTAGTGGCCCAATCGGGTCGAGCAAGCCACCATTTATCTTTACCACTAGAAAAAAACAAAACGAAACAAAAAGAGATTGTGTAGAAAAAATAATCAACTTCTACCCAGTACACAACTATTTGTGAGGTGAGGTCAAATAATTCAAGTTTTGCTTGTTGACATTCAAAAAAATTCAAGTCAACGCGTAGCGTTATATGAACAGAAATTACAAGTGTAATTATTTAATTTTGTCAAACTAGTTGCGCTTGCTTTCAATGATGCCCACTTGTTAATAATATTTTTCCTCATTGTTCTGTGGTTAAGTCATTTATTAATAATATTTCTCTAGAGGCAGGCGCGACGCGGAGGCCATCTTTTGCGCCTGCCTCTAGGGAAAAGAGAAAAAGAAAGATTCAGTTAGAAAATATATATATATATATGTTTCCATCTAGTAAACCACAAGTTGTGAGGGGAGATGCAAAAATTCATGTTTTGCTCGTCATTCAAAAATATTTGTGTCATTGCATAATGTTATATGGAATGAAATTAGAAGCGTAATTATTTAATTTTGTAGATCTAGCTATCTCCGCTTTCTGTCGATGATGGCTACTTTTGAAATAATATTTTTACAACTTCAACTTGTTTGCAATAACTTGAAACCCATTGACCACAACTTATAAAATTTTCAAATGTTACCGAAAGCTGGTGGATCAATCGGTATGTCCGGTAGGCCAGTACCAACTCCTGCCATTGTAAAACAAAGATAGTGTTTAAAAAAAAAAAAATCAATTTCTTATCCAGTAAAGACCTTGTTCAGAGGAGAAGTCAAATAATTCAAGTTTTACTTGATTAAATTCAAAAAATATTTTTGTCAATGCATAATCTTATAAAAAAATAAGATTAGATGTGCAATTATTCGATTTCGTCAAACCTGTTGTCTTCACTTGCTTCCGACAATGCCCAATTCTTCATAATTTTTTCTGCAATTTTTATAAAGTAAAATCCAACTTAATGATCAAAACTTGTAACCAAATGATTACAACTTACTAAATTTCAATCATTACCGAATGCTGGTGGATCATTTGGCGCATCGAGCAAGCCAAAATCTACACACGCCACATTGACAAGGGGGAAAAAAAAAAGAAGAAAAGAAGATAGTGTCGAAAAATAATCAGTTTCAACCCAGTATACAACTATTTGTAAGGGAAGGTCAAATAATTCAAGTTTTGTTTCTTGACGTTCAAAAAATTGATGTCATTACATAACGTTACATGAAAAGAATTTACGGCGGTGAGATAATATAATTTTGAGATTCTAAGTATCTCTGTTTCCTTCACATAATACCCTATTCTTAATAACATTTTTCCCCATTTTTGTATGGTAAGTCAATTATTAAAAACTATAACTTCAACCCATTGATCAAAAATTGCAACCCATTGACTACAACTTAAAAAATTCCAGTTCATACCAAGCTCTGGTGGGTTAATAGGTGCAACAAGCAGACCAGGATATACGCCTGCCATTAGGAAAAAAAAGATAGTGCAGAAAAAATAATCAATTTATGTTCTGCAAAGCACTATTCATGAGGGGAGGACAAATAATCCAACTCTTGCAACTCAACATTCAAAGAAATTCATGTCATTGCGTAATGTTATATGCTCAGATATTACAAGTGTGTAATTATTTAATTTTGTCAATATAGTATCTCCACTTGCATCCCATAATGCCCTATTCTTAATAATATTTTTTGCCATTTTTGTGCAGAAATGCAATTATTAAAAATTAGAACTTAACCTATTTATCAAAACTCGCAATCCGTTCACTACAACTGACAAAATTTCAATTCTTACCGTCAATCGGAGGGCCAAGCAAATCATCATATATGCCTACAATTGGAAAAAACAAAAGACAGCGTTAAAAAAAAAATCAATTTGTCCCGTAAAAAACTATTTTTGAGCAATGTCAGACAATTTAAATTTTGCTTGTCATATTCAAAAACATAAGAACTCATATAACCCATAATTCAAAAAAACTTGTAAAATTTATGGTCTATACCGAATCCTAGTGGCCCAATCGGGCCGAGCAAACCACCATCTATCTCTGGCACTGGAAAAACAAAACAAAACAATTAGAGATCGTGTTGAAAAAATAATCAATTTCTACCCAGTACACAACTATTTGTGAGGGGAGGTCAAATAATTCAAGTTTTGCTTGCTGACATTTAAAAAAATTCATGTCAACGTTATATGAAAAAAATTACAAGTGCAATTTTAATTTTGTCAAACTAGCTATGCTTGCTTTCAATGATGCCCACTTGTTAATAATTATTTTGAGACTAACATTTTGAGACAATAAAAATAGAATAAGAGACTAATATTTTGAGACGGAGGGTGTACTGACATTACTTCAATCTGTTAATCAACATAACCGTGAGCTAGGAGAGGGATTAAAATTTAGAAAAATTTACCTATAAATCTAATATGGTGAATGTTGATCTATTTAGTATTAAAAGTTTTTTTTATGAATCAATTAGTCCTTTTTGTTTTAGAAAGTTGTATTTATTTGATTTAGTGCTATTTGAATTTAAGTGAATGCCCTTTATGATTCATTTTTTCAATTTTCTAATTCGTTTTTGGCATGGGAACGGAAAGGTAAGGTTGTGGAAAATTCTTTATAAAAATTCTTTTCATTTTTATTAGTGTATTTTTTGGTATTATATTGAAGTGCTACATTAGAGTACTACATTTGGAAAAAGAAAATAGGAATTTTTATATGTTAAATTGATTGGAGTGTTAGGTTTGGAAAAAAAAATACGCTAAGGAATTTTCTTGGAATGTTACATTTTTACGCTTGGGAAAAGTACACTAAGGAGTTTTTGTGTTACATTGATTGGAGTGTTACGTTTAGAAAAAGTACACTAAAAAGTTTTTTTGTGTTACATTGATTGGAGTGTCACATTTGGGAAACATACGCTAAGGGGTTTTCTTGGAATGTTACGTTGTTACGTTGGAAAAATACACTAAGGAGTTTTTATTTGTTACATTGATTTAAGGATTACGTTTGGAAAAAAAATACACTAAAGAATTTTTTTGAAATGTTACGTTGTTATGTTTGAAAAAAGTACACTAAATAAACTTTTAATGTGTTACATCGGAATGTTACGTTTAGAAAAACTCACATTAGAATATGACTTTTGAATCCATTAATTAAAAAACAAAATAAAAAAAATGACCAAACAGTTCTTAAAATCACTATTCGAGATTTTTATTTATTTATTTTTTATCAGCAAATGTTAGTTGCTAGATTAGTACCTATGGGAAAAAAATCTCTCAATCCTTAACAAAACATCTAAATGCTTGCACTTCCTTAATTCAACTCCTTCAATTAGGAATTGAACCCATGACCTCCCTAGGGACTAAGCCCTAAGAGCATCCACAATGAGATGGCTAAAATTGTTTGTTAAAGTGTGTTATATGACAAAAAGTAACAAAAGTGAAGCCTAAAAAATGTGTGGTAAAGTGTGTTAAGAATTTGTTAATTTTAGAGAGTGAGTGGTGGTGCAATGAATATGTTAAGGTGTGTGTTAAGAATATATATATATATAAATGCGCACCACAACGGATTGGGTCGTCCGCCGAGACATCTGCCTAGAAGTCCGGCAGGTCCATTGGTCAACTTTTTTTTTTTTTTTTTTTTTAACTTGTTGGGCTTTGTTTTTTTAACATTAATGTTTAATGTCTTTTTTTTTTTTTTTTGCATTTTTGTTTTTTTAATGCTATTGTCTATGTTGTTGTAATTGAAAAATAATACTATATTTTTTGGGTTTGCAGGAAACCCAATGCCCTCTTTCTCTCGTTGGCTAAAATGCTAATCACAGTTAACACACAAGTTAATATACAATGCTAATGGCTGACACTAATACACAAGTTAGCAACTTCATTGCAGCACAAAACAGTGTTTTTAGCTGGCCAAAATTTGGCACACTAGCACACCCACTGACACACCCATTGTGATGCTCTGAGGAAAGTATGGTGACTAACTAAACTAAGTCTAATGGATAATTATTAGAGATTTATTAATATTTCGCCGTAAAATTTATGTCACGAATCTTACTCATAAAGATTAGCATTTTTCAAAATTAACTTATCTATGTTAGACCAACACTGAATGAATTTAGATTATATATTTATTTTTTCTTAAATAAAAGTATGTGATAATTTGACTACTCAGCTGTTTTTTTTAATTATTTATAACTCGGGTGTCGGGTCAGTTGTTTTTTTTTTAACTACTCAGCTGTTAAAGTTATGACTTTTTTTTTAATTATTTTCTTGTACTTTTTTTTACACCAAACACGTCATAAATTCAACTAAAAATATTGGGTAAATTATAACAGTAGTCTTACATTTTATCTCTTGTATCATTTTGATTTTTACACTTTCAATTGACTCAATTTTTACCGTTAATTTTAAATTTTGTGTCAATTTAATCCAATTAATAATGTTATTAGTGTTGTTGACGAAAAATAATCAATAAATTGATTTAAGTTAACTCACTGAGTTAAGTAATTTTATAATTTTGCTTTTAAAAAATATGATACATGCCACTTGTATGTATATTTTTCATAACAAAAATGTTAAGAGTTGTAATTAATTAGACCAAATTAAAACAAAATCACAAATTCATGATTGAAATTGAGTCAACAGAAATTATAGAAATTAAAATGACATAAAAACTAAAATACAAGAACTACTTTCGTAATTTGTCTAAAAATATTTATTAACAAACAACGTTTACGAGCATCCCACAAAACACAATTGATAAAATAAGAGAAGAAACAACAATTATATATTTTATTGTGTCAATACATTAGTTTAATTTTTATTTTTATTTTACTAAAAATATATTATTTATCCAAAAGTATCCATATCTATTCAAAATTTAACTATTCACCGATTTGTTCAAACATCACACATAATACAAAAAATTATATAACTCACTTGCATCAAAACTCATAACAAATAAAAGAAAACCTATGGATTCAAAAACTTAGCCACTATAAATATGTATTCATACTTTAGAACGCTTCCAACAAGTGACAAGAGTCTATACTTAACTCCATGATCTTTCAATCAAAGAAAACACTCTGCATGTATATGGTGAGAGACCGTGTATGTACCACAGCGGCAGAGAGTTTTTGAGAGTGTGTGGATAATTCTAGACCTTGAGTTGAATAATATAGTATTGAGAAATAGGATGAATCTATTCAAATCCAATATGACCACTCTTATGCATGCCTTTGTTCAAAAAAACCTATAATCGGTCACACGAGACTAATGGTCAGAGGAAAAACTATTCAAAAGAAAATAACTGTATGACCAACTGTCACAACAAATTGATCTACTAATTTTTTAATTTGTTACCCAAAATCGATAGTCACAATCTATTATTCACTACTCAGTGCATGTTACTAACAGTCAAAGAAGAACACAACTCATGATGATACCTCTAAAATGGTAGAGAAATAAATTATAACAAAACACAAACACAAACACAGAGAAACATATTTAATTTCAAAGAGAAAGAAGAAAATATATGGTGCCACTACAGTATTGTCATATTCAAATCTATTGCTGCAAACAGGGAAAAGGAAGTTGTGCAATTTTCTTTCCATATATGAGGTAGTGCGAAGAGAAAAACAATATGTCTGTGCAGATGCAACCACTAGAATCAAAACAAATGGCAATCATAAATCAAGGTTCTAAATTATATTTGGTCTAACCCGTGAATGAAGGAAACTAAAGCAAACTTTTCAAATACAATTAGCACTTAAATTGTAACAATAAAGTAACATACAAGTGGTGATATGTTTCGGTAACAAATGAAATACAAAATCAAACATGTCTGATAGTTTGAAATTTAAATTCCAATTTCTTGTTTGTGATGGGCTAAAATAACTCATCATATACTAAAATAGAACAAAATAAAACACTCATTACATTACTCTTTTTATTTTTTTACACGTGTATTTATTATTCCCAAACGATACCATGTAATAAATAAATAAATAAATCGGATCTATACCTAACCCATAGTTTGAATAGTTTTTATTTTTATAATCTGTAACTTGAGAAGTTAACTACATACAGGAATTGATTGTTCTTAGAGAAATACCGTTTAGTACTGTCTTTTCCATTGCGTCATCCTTTTTGACTCACTTGATTTCGGTGAACACAGGCCAATTCCATTGATGTCTCCCGATTGTTAAATCATGAAAGAGTGAACGGATGTGAAACAAGTGAAAATCTTAAAATTCAAGGAAAATGAACAAATCGTAATATTACTTATACCATGAAATGTTGGTGAATTCGAATCTGCTCCTTCAGAATCCATAGCTATCAAATCAACAATTAATCATCACTATATAACACCAATGACACATCCATATATCATGTATTTATATTCGTGTATATGTGATGAACTCATATCACATCATAACAATTAATCATCACAGTGAATGGATGTGAAACAAGCGAAAAACTTAAAATTCAAGGATAATGAACATTTCGTACTATTACTTACCATGAAATGTTGGTGAATTCGAATCATCTCCTTCAGAATCCATACCTATCAAATCAACAATTAATCATCACTATATAACACCAATGACACATCCATATGTCCATATATATATATATGTATATATATCATGTATTTACGTTCGTATATATGTGATGAACTCATCACCATAACACATCCATATATCATAACAGTCTAACAGATCCATATAGCATTACCTTGAAGTTGCTGTGTTTTGGTTTTGCGAGAGAGAGAATACGTGTGTGTTTGGTTTTAAAATGCTTTTGAATGATAAACTCATAATACCACATCATAACAGTCTAACAGATCCATATAACATTATCTTGAAGTTGCTGTGTTTTGGTTTCTCACGCGCATGCCAGAGAGAGAGTATGTGTGTGTGTTTGGTTTTGAAATGCTTTTGAATGATAAACTCATAATACCACATCATAACAATCTGACAGATCCATATAGCATTACCTTGAAATTGCTGTGTTTTGGTTTTGAAATGCTTTTGAATGATAAACTCATAATACCGCATCATAACAATCTAACAAATCCATATAGCATTACCTTGAAGTTGTTGTGTTTTGGTTTTGCGAGAGAGAGAGAGTATGTGTGTGTGTTTGGTTTTGAAATGCTATTGAATTGCATTCTGAAGCGCGAGGGGTTTATAAGGTAGTTTCCATTTTTTTTATTTTTTATTTCTTTTTATCAAAGTTTCTGGCATAGCACCACCCCCATGGGAGTGGTGTGTGGCAGCTGTTGGTTGGTTGCATGTGTTTGCCATCATGGTTTTAGATGCCATATATACTATACAGCATGTACTCAACAGCTTTTTGAGGTGCCGAATGGGATACATTTCGTGTGAACCGATTTCCCCCTCGGATCGACCAGTTTTTTTTCTAGTTTTTATTTTTATCAGTTAGTTCTCATTACATATTAATTTGTAATTGTTACAGTAAACTGGCCGATACGAGAACTGACTGATAAAAATTAAAAAAAACTGGCCGATACGAGCGGGGAAATTGGTTCACATGAAATGTATCCCATTCGGCACCTCAGAAAGCACGTCTCTCTTTCCTTCCTCCGGCACACTCTACATCTGTCCTTGAGCTATCCAAGGCATCGAGTGATTCCCCGAAGGTTTGTAACTCGAGGAATGTTGGACATAACCCGCATAGTCGACTCTGAATCTTCCCCTTTGCATGAACTCCCCGCCCTCAAAACGATAAATGCATCAGACCTTCCTTCTTTCCTTAAGACCTTGCGACTGAGGATCAGCAACAGGCACATCTCACTAGCGCATCTCGTCTCTTTCCCAGGTTTTTTATTCGAGGAATGTTCACTCTACGCTAGAGCACAAAAGGCTCGGTACCTCTAAAGGGTTGGTGTGGCTAAGTAAAGCTGCTCGAAAGCCTTCATTTCATCGCTGTTTGTGTTCTGCCCTGTTCTTTCTCTAATCTCGTTAAGTACCTGTTGTACAGTATATATGGCATCTAAAACCATGATGGCAAACACATGAAACCAACCAACAGCTGCCACACACCACTCCCATGGGGTTGGTGCTGTGCTAGAAACTTCGATAAAAAAAAATATAAAATAAAAAAAATAGAAACTGCCTTATAAACCCCTCGCGCTTCAGAATTCAATTCAATGGCATTTCAAAACCAAACACACACGCATACTCTCTCTCTCTCTCAAAACCAAAACACAGCAACTTCAAGGCAATGCTATATGGATTTGTTAGATTGTTATAATGTGGTATTATGAGTTTATCATTCAAAAGCATTTCAAAACCAAACACACACACATACTTTCTCTCTCTCTCTCTCTCTCTCACGCGCGTGCGAAACCAAAACACAGCAACTTCAAGGTAATGCTATATGGATCTGTTAGATTGTTATGATCTGGTATTATGAGTTTATCATTCAAAAGCATTTCAAAACCAAACACACACACATACTTTCTCTCTCTCTCGTGTTCGCGCGCAAAACCAAAACACAGCAACTTCAAGGTAATGCTATATGGATCTGTTAGATTGTTATGATGTGATATTATGAGTTTTATCATTCAAAAGCATTTCAAAACCAAACACACACACATACTTTCTCTCTCCCTCGTGTGCGCGCGAAACCAAAACACAGCAATTTCAAGATAATGCTATATGGATCTGTTAGACTGTTATAATGTGGTATTATGAGTTTATCATTCAAAAGCATTTCAAAACCAAACACACACACATACTTTCTCTCTCCCTCGTGTGCGCGCGAAACCAAAACACAGCAATTTCAAGATAATGCTATATGGATCTGTTAGACTGTTATAATGTGGTATTATGAGTTTATCATTCAAAAGCATTTCAAAACCAAACACACACACATATAGGTATGGATTCTGAAGGAGATGATTCGAATTCACCAACATTTCATGGTAAGTAATAGTACGATATGTTCATTATCCTTGAATTTTAAGTTTTTCGCTTGTTTCACATCCATTCACTGTGATGATTAATTGTTATGATGTGATATGAGTTCATCACATATACACAAACATAAATACATGATATATATATGTACGGTTATATGGATGTGTCATTGGTGTTATATAGTGATGATTAATTGTTGATTTCATAGCTATGGATTCTGAAGGAGCAGATTCAAATTCACCAACATTTCATGGTAAGTAAAACTACGATTTATTTGTTCATTTTCCTTGAATTTTAAGATTTTTGCTTGTTTCACATCCGTTCACTCTTTCATGATTTAACAATCAGGATACGTCAATGGAATTGGCCTATTGTTCACCGAAATCAAGTGAGTAAAAAAGGACGATGTAATGGAAAAGACAGTGCTAAACAGTATTTCTCTAAGAACAATCAATTTCTGTATATAGTTAACTTCTCAAGTTACAGATTATAAAAATAAAAACTATTCAAACTATGCCTTAGATATAGATCCGATTTATTTATTTATTTATTACATGGTATCGTTTGGGAATAATAAAAACACGTGTAAAAAAATAAAAAGAGTAATGTAATGAGTGTTTTATTTTGTTGACTATTTTAGTATATGATGAGTTATTTTAGCCCATCACAAACAAGAAATTGGAATTTAAATTTCAAACTATCAGACATGTTTGATTTTGTATTTCATTTGTTACCAAAACATATCACCACTTGTATGTTACTTTATTGTTACAATTTAAGAGCTAATTGTATTTGAAAAGTTTGCTTTAGTTTCCTTCATTCACGGCCAGACCAAATATAATTTAGAACCTTGATTTATGATTGCCATTTGTTTTGATTCTAGTGGTTGCATCTGCACAGATATGTTGTTTTTCTCTTCGCACTACCTCATATACGGAAAGAAAATTGCACAACTTCCTTTTCCCTGTTTGCAGCAATAGATTTGAATATGACAATACTGTAGTGGCACCATATATTTTCTTCTTTCTCTTTGAAATTAAATTTGTTCCTCTGTGCTTGTGTTTGTGTTTTGTTATAATTTATTTCTCTACCATTTTAGAGGGATCATTATGAGTTGTGCTCTGCTTTGACTGTTGGTAACATGCTCTGACTAGTGAATAATAGATTGCGACTATCGATTTTGTGTAACAAAATAAAAAAACTAGTGGATCAATATAACCAAAACTTCATCCCAAAAATGCAGGTAATGCACATATGGAAGAAAATTTTCCATAAATGGCCCCTTCTACCTACCACGTTTAATCCAGGATTTGAAGGAAGAAAAATTAGCAAACATTCACCCTTATGAATCCAGACGAAATTTTAATAATAATTCATAACTAACAAAAACAGAGACGATGGATAACAGCATTCTGTGCTCACAAATTTAAATCATAACTCAATCATGATGTTGGAATAAAAGCTACTGTAAAAAAAGTTACCTGGAATAACTTATATAGTCTGGCCACTTTTAGCACATCCAAAGAAGTTGGAGAATCGGCAAAGATTGATTGCAGGTTTTCCTCAGTGATTTTCTCAATATTTTCAGCTCTATAAGGTTCTTCACTCAAAAGTTCCTGTGGCAATGACACAAGCTACTATAACCCGATACATACAGGTGGATAAAAATGTTTATGTTTACTTGGAAAGAACAATAAGTTACACAAATCCATAATCTAATGAGCCTCTAATGGTGTTATACAGGTACACAGAAAATCCATGATCACAACCACCTCTGATGGTGTTGCACAAAGTAGAGGCATCATTAAAAACAAAAACAAATGATTAAAACAGCCTTGCTGCAGAAAATAAATAAATAGATACCTTCACAGCAACAACTGGATCAGAAGATCCACGACTGCTAGCAAATGATACACACAACCCTTCAACATCAGAAAGAGTTTTCACTTTGGATATTGCCTCTTGAGGTTTCATTCCAAGCTTTATACCGAGAACAATCTGCAGAACCACCCAATATCAAGAGTACAATACATGTTTAACAGTAAAAAGCTAAAAGCATTTGGAAGTCTATAAACTATTGCATTGGAGGACAATTTAGCTAATAGACCTCGTAGATTTTAAAATTAGGAGCCTTCACAATGGCTATTGAATCCATAGACTAATAATGCTTTCGGTCATTTTGATAGAAAATGCAATATAAAGTTTTTTTTTTATTTTTTGATAAATAACAAACAACCAAATTGCAATATAAAGTAAAATATACACCAACTATCAAAAAATAAAATGAAACAAAATAAAACTTACAGCAGCTAAACGGCATTCAACAACCCGATTATTGTAATTTGTAGCAGCAGTGACTGCTTTCTGGGATTCGGCCAATGAATGTGCTATTACAAAAGAACCACCAGCAGGAAGTTGCACATCAGTTGCACGAATGGGATTGAAATCAATCAGCTCCGCAAACCCAGATTGAGCCATGACAGAGATAGCCTGCAAGGTGAATCAAATTATGGACTGATAGGTTGTGGCCAATCTGACCCAAACAAAAATAATATGAACACGTTTGATAGTCATTAAAATAACTAAAATCCTACTCACGAATCGGTTTCGTGCGGTTCGGATGACGGGTTGGACCCACCCGATGCGGTGTAGGTTGGGAAAAAATGGAACCGCGTCCACCCGCATTGCGGGTTGCGGATTGAACAGGTGGATCATGCGGTTGCGCGGGCGGTTGCGAGCGGTTTGTGAATTTTTTTTTTTATTATTTTTGAGAGATTTTTTCTTTTGAGATATTTTTTTCGGCAGTTTTTTTTTAAACATATTATTATTATTATTATTCAGATTATTATTAAGTAGATTATTATTATTATTCAGATTATTATTAAACAGATTATTTTTTTCCGAAGTTTTTTTTTCTTAAAACAGATTATTATTATTATTATTCAACAATAAAAACATTTTCTTTTATTAAATAATCAAAGCAAAATGTTACAAACCCTTTTGCAAACCCACAACACAACAACACAACCAAAAGCATATTCTTGTATTAAATAAAATAAGCAAAAAAGTTACAAACCCACAACAAAACAAGTCTGCAAACCATAAATAAATGGAGGAGAGGCGAGATCTGAGCGATCTAGGTACCTTCGGTTTTTGTTTTTTTGTTTTTTTGCTGTAGATCTTCCAGATGTGCCATCTCTAGATCTGGTTTGGGGGGACGGCGACATTGCGACAGGGAGAAGTGGAGGGGATGGAGAGACGATGGCGGCGGTAGAGGAGATGAGAGCGATGGCGACGGGAAGGAGATGAATAGAGAGGTAGGCGAGAGAGAGTGAGATACAGCAGATGAGAGAAAAAAAGAGACGGCTTGGTAGAGAGAGAAAGGAGTATAAAAAAATGAATTTGAGAGAGGCATACCCAAATTTTTTTTTTGTTTAAGCATATGCTGTGGATCATTCGGGCGGGTTGCAGATTTGCACGAGTAGGGTTGGGTCTGACCCAAACCCGATTTTGTATGGAAAAATAGACCTGCACTCGCCCTATTTATGCATGCGCGTAGGGTCAGATTTGTGCGGATAGAATCAGTTTGGACGAATTGTGCGGATCGAATAAACCGTTATCCATCCCTAACAAGGACAAATAACACTAGCCACCAACTTAACAAAGGACTTCTTCCTTAAAATGTATTAAAAATTAGCAAGTTGCAATATACAAGAGAAATATGTTTTTGTAAGAGTTGGAGTATGTTTGGATGATGTCAAACTATTGAGAGTAAAGCCCTGAAGGTTCAAGAAAACTATAATAAAATTCAAGAGCACGTAATGGAGGTTATGTAACCTGGTCCATGCCACCAGATTGTGTCCCAATGTGCCGTTCACATTCACATGTAAGCTGCGCAATTTCTTTCTGCAAAATAAACAATGACATTAGAATCAGTAAAAAAAAAAATGAAGTTTTCACAATATGGACATTTTACTGTCAATTAGTCTTCATCTACCAGACTGTAGGATGGAAGTGTCTCAGTTGTACGGAGCAAATGTGGAATTAAAATCTTAAAGAAGTGTAATTATAACAAATTCATAGTATTCAGTATTTTTTTTTTCTTTCCAAATCTAAAGGAAAATTAGTGTAATTTATCCATTTTTTTAAAAAAAGATTTAGTGACAAGTCCTATTTTATAAACTTATTTAAGTTTAGATCTTTTTATAATCTCCACATTTTTTCTTTACCTATACCAAAATTCCTCTACATTATTTTTTCTTTATTTGAGCACCCACTATAATCCTAACTGTACCTTTTCTTTGGACCCACAACCCTACAACATCATTTATCCAACAGTCCTCCCACCCCCATCTCCGGCCACCCTCCATTATCATTCCAATGAACCTTGCCCTTATTACAACCCTTCCCTAGCCCCCCTCCTCCCCAATGCCCCCAGTACTTTAGCCCATCTTTGGCGCTAACTTTAGGCCATGTTTATTTTTGGTGGACTAGATTAAGTTAGATTAGTATTTTTGTCGCTAATAGTCCTAGAACTACGAATCCCGTTAGATTGTGTATCCTATCATATGTTTAGATGCTTAGTCCTCCAATTTATATCCCACCCTGTGGGATTGAATAGTCCGTTTGGAGGCTTAGTCCTCAAATTTATATCTCACTCTATGGAATTGAATAGTCCATCATGTGTGAAAGGCCATATCCGAATAAATTATTAGTCCGTACTTTAATCATTTAACCAAACATCAGATTAATAATTTTATTAGACTATTAGTACCTTTCTAAACCCATATCCACCCAAACAAACGTGTCTTTTCTTCCTTCGTTGCTCCTTCCTGTTTTCATACAGAAGTTAATGCCAAGTCAAAGAAGAAGCAGCATTCAACATTCAGAGTCAAGGTGATGTCAAATAACGAAACAGACATTTGGCAAAGCAATTTTAAGTACAGACTAGATAGTTGACCATGAACCCTTTTTAACTTAGAGAGAGAGAGAGAGAGAGAGAGAATTAACAACCCAAACTCAGATCTCAGTTCTCATCCAATGCTCCTAGCATGATATCTCCTCTTTAGGAACATAGTCCAAGATAGTCAGTGCACTAGTATCTCTAGCAAGTTCCACCTCTATAGTCATAGAAAGAAATTTCTACATTCTGCCCTGTGTCATTAATGTTACATTTTCTTGCAGACAATGTGCCAATAAATTCCATGATGTCACCCAAAGACATAAGGTGTATTCAAATTGCAAACAAAGTAAGAAGTTTCTGTCCAATCTCAGAAAAAAAAAAAAAAGAACAAGAAAAGTTAGCTACAATACCGAGCTAGAAAGTTAGGATGAAAATGTTACAAGTGATGTGATGGGGTCATCCATCAAATAACTGTTTGAAGAACACTGGATTCAAATCCAAGCTTAAACTTTAAATTTACAATATTTTAAGCCACAGATAATTCTGGTAAGTAGTAGAACATATAGTTCAAAAGTTAGAAGTTCAACATAATTTCAATTATGCTTCGTAGCGGATTTAGTTGATTAATAAAGCAACTATTGGCGTGAGCTGTATAATATATTAAATCTTTCATGGCAATAAATACAAAACCAAAGAGACACTTCCGCAAATTACCTGATCTGCTACTGCATATATTGCAATTATACATGGAAGACAGCAGCAAACAGCTATACCAATGACAAATGCCACAGCAACACAGATAACAACAAAGAACACATAAAAGCATGAAATTTACAGATCCATAAGAAACTACAACGAATTAGCCAATAAAAATTGATCAAACATAAAAGCATAAAACTTTTCTCATACTTGATCTACCACGTATCTAATTTCGACCTGATCTAGCAAAAAATAGAATCGAAAAAAGAAGAAAAAAATTATGAAATCAAAGATCTAGAGAACAGATTTGATACCTTGAGGGCCTGAGGAGCAATGTCCCAACCCAAACGTGGTCTCTTTCTGGGACAACGATCCACGTGCATGTGGAAACTCGATCACGCGTTCCATCTCCATGTTTTCATTTTTGTTTTTGCCAGAAATAAATATAAGCACGTATAATCTTTTCTGTAAACAAAAAAAAAAAGTAAACTGTAAACGTACATGAAATGCGATGAATTTGAACGGTGATTTAGGTTGGAAAACACCATTGTTGAGCCATCTTTCAGGTCATCTTCTGCATCATCTCCCCAAATGTAAGGCATCCTCTGCCCATGGCATAGGACATGTAGTAAAACACCATCTTCCTTTTTCAGTTTAAATCCATCTGGAAGAATGTCATCTGTTTCCGCGCACCTCCCATCCTTAAAAAGTACAAGTAACAACTGACCAAAATTATAAATCGTTACTATTCTCAAGAATGGGAAAAAGCGTCAAGGATATTCGCTTACTTGTGACTTCCACCAGTCAAAAGGCCACTTGGCTGAAATATATCACCCTCGAGAGTGACACTTGGGGTGCCAATTTCTCTATTAAAAGCAACCTATGGACTAGTCATTAATGTGAAAATGAGATCAAGCTCAACAAGGTAACAAAAAACACATTTATTCAAAATACGTAGTAGTTTAGCCACGTACAAGATGACAAATTAATTTGGCCCAATGCCAAAAAAAAGATTTAGCCAAGTTAACACTTTTACAGATCAATAGCGTAACCTTAAACCAAAGTGCATATGTTTCTAAGATGTTTGTCAAAAAATAAATTCATTCATCAATTCTAACTTCTGAGAAAAAAAATCCAGCACCACATGCTCTTTGATCCTCTTTTGCAGTGTTCTTAGTGAACTACAGTACATTTAAATCAAGACATAGAATCAACAGTTGCACTCAAATATAACATGACCACAAAACATAGCAGCAGAGCAACAAAAGAAAACATGTCATCTTCAAATGGAAAATATATATTAGAATCATCTATACAAAGGCACCTGAGGGAAAAGGATTACTGAAAAAGACTTACCTCCCTCGCTGCATTAATAGTTTTGCACACAAATGTTGAACCAAATACACATTCCATAGCACTTTGCAACACATATCAACTCTCTTTAAAAACAAAATATAACTAACCCAAGCCAAAGTTCTTTTATCCAACCAAAAACAAAATCGCACGAATGCGAACAAGATTTTGGCCCATTAAGAAAGGCACATGCTAGAAACATTCCAGCACACACAATTGAATTATTCCTTCAGTTCCTGATCATATCCAACCAGAGACACAGCCACTTTTGCATTCCCCTTGTCTGACAAACACAAACAAATATGGGAGATACAAAAATGTAATGAAAGCCAAATACACAGACAAACCAATCTACCAGAAGATCAAAAATAGATTGAAAAAATTGAAAAAAGTGAGATTGAAAAACAAAAAGATCAAAGTGAATGAGATTCTATTGAAAAGAAAGCGGACCAAAAATAGCAAGTGAAAAGATAAAAAAAGAGCAAAATTCGAATGAAGAGAGGCCAGATCGAAGATCTAATGGAGCAATAAAGAGAGAGGACCTGAGGGATGGTAGCGACAGGAGAACCAGACCTGAGGAGGAGCTTCAACAGGCACATCCAATGCCATCGCGCTCGAGCTTTTCTTGGAATAGAAAACCCTATCATTTCATCGGTTGGTTTCCTCAATGCCATCGCGCTCGAGCTTTTCTTGGAACAGAAAACCCTATCATTTCATCAGTTGGTTTCCTCTTGCTCCGACTTGATCGGTCTCGATCTCAGTCTCGGTCTTGGTCCCAATCCCTATCTCGATCCTGATGATCTTGATCTTTCTTCACTCCTCGGTCTCATAACCCTGTCGATTTGTGCAACTCAACCGAACCATCTTCCTCTGCAAAATCATCAGAATCAAAATCAAGAAAACCAAAAAACCATCAAGAAATTTCAACAAAATCGATGCAGGAATCGATGGAATTAGAATTAGATCTGAACCCCGGTGAATCTATCAAGGAGCATGAGGAGATGGAGAAAACCCTAGATCTAGGATGAAGAGAGAAAACGATAGAGAGAAATGGGGAGAGAAAACAAAATGACGGAAAGAGAAAACACTAGAGAGAAATGAACGTTATAAAGTGAAACATGCGTATCTTTAATTTCACTATAGTTCTTGCAAAGCGTTTTCCAAAAAAACATTGTCTAAAAAACGTGGTTATAGACAAATTTTGTTGTAGTGTTTGTATTACAAAATTAATGTAAATATTTACATCTCTATGTACATACTATGTTCGTGCTAATCTGGCTATTAATATACAATTAATCTTCGAAAAAAACAAAATATATGTGAATGTTCACAATAAATAACAAACATACAGCTAATTTTCAAAAAAATAAAACTCATATAAAAATACAATGTGAATATTCACAATTTACAATTAACATACAACTGTTCTTAAAAAAACTACATTCATACCAATGTAAACAATCACACTACAATGTGAAAACATAAAAAAAAAATTCAAAAAAGTGAAAATTGACTGCTTCGATTGTTCAATGGTAACAAAAATGATTGTTTAACCAACTTGTAATAAAAATAACTAACATACAACTAACTTTCAGAAAAATAAAATTCATACCAAAATATAATGTAAATGTTCATAGTTTACAATTAACATACAATTATCCTTAAAAAAAACTAAACTCATACCAATGTGAACATTCACACTGCAATGTGAAAACAGGAAACAAAATTAAAAAAAGTAAAAAACGCCTATTTCAGTTATTCAATGACAATAAAAATGATTGCTCAATCAAAAACCATAGTAACAATCAATATATAACAAATCATCAAACAATATATAAAAAAATCATCAAATATTTCATATATATTGATGCACCTTTTTAGAAAAAATATGTATATAATCAACTCCAGTATAATACCAGCGAATAAACTACACAATATCAATGACTATACAAACTGACGAAGAGACTATGTTTTATGTATAAAAATAGCAAAAAAAGACTGTCCACTATTGATTTACGATTATCTCTGTTGCGAGTCCATCATCATCTCTATCATTGGTCTACATGTATAACTAACCTTCTCTTCCAAATATTCTTCCACGATAAGACCTTATTGTAAAATAATGGTAAAGATCTTTGATCAAGTGAATTCCTCACATTGAGGCAAATAAAATATTAAGAATAATAATGTATTATATATTTATATGCAGTATTATATATATATATATTACCATATAGAAAGAAAATTCTGATTAAATATATTTCATTTATGATATATATATATATATATTACAATAAAAGCTTATAAGGGTAAAATAATCCACATAATACTTCTAATATAGGCAAAAAGACCTATTGGAATTCAAATGTATGGGATTAGGTGGAACACAAGAATACTTTGTGAATTTATTGGGCTATAAAATTTATAAATAAATTTCTCAAGCTCAATACACCCCCCACTTTCAATCCTTTTTAATACAACTTGTAAATTAGTAAAAAACGGCATTAACTATTAAATTTTATATCCATAACTTATGACCCACTTAATCCCAAATATTCTTCTAATCCAAAAAGTCTTGTCTAACATCAAAAAATTTCAAATGAAACACATCCACATTTAGAAACGTAAAATGTGTATGTGAATATGATATTTCAAATTGCAAAATCGTAGTTGTCATTTTAGGTCACATTGTCACATTTTGAGAATAACACATTTGACAAAAGTTTAATAAGACAATAAGGCATGCATTAGAATGATTGTCCCATTATCACATTTTAAGAATGACACAATTGGCATTTTAATAATGATGTCTCATTGTCACATTTTAAGAATGACACATTTGGCAAAAGTTCATACCCAACATTTGGAAACTAAACGTAGTATATTTCACCCAAGAATCTCCAAAAAATATAGTGAAATGATCTCACGGTGTACATTTCCAAATTCAATAAGACTGTGATTGTCCACAAAAAATTCATAGGACTTTCCAAAACAAACTTTTTTGGGATGGGATTTCCGAATAAATTGCCCTTAATAAAACTAAATTTTAAAACAAAAACTCTAAATCTAAAACAAAAAAACTTCTCTACCAACCCATGCTACTTGCTACCAGCTCACTTGTTAGTGCGTACTGCCACCACCCCTTCCAACCCATCAACCATTGACACCACCCTCTCCCCCACCTATTGCTGCCATTTGTAACTATTCCATTCCTCTTCCATCACACCCACTACTAGCTCATTGACTCCCTCAAACCCTGTCTCTGCCACCCTTTCCCCAGTCAACTCCCGTCCCGCCATCTTGACACCCTATCCCCTTCCCGTCACCTCTAATCCCTCTTTTCCTCTGTCAACACCCCATCTTCTATGAAACCCTACAACCACCAAACACCACCACTCTAAACCTATAAACCTTTAGGTTTGAATACCCTAGGCCTCCCCCCTTAAAAGTCTCTCTGTTTCTCTCTCTCATACATGATTTGCAAAGTTAAGTCAATTGGGGTTTCACGATTATGAGAGGAGGGGATAGAGGCCAGCAAGAAAGTTAGTAGGTATCATGGTGGTGGAGAAGTGGGTGGCATATATATATAGGAGAGGGACTGGGGTGGTCGTTGGAAGTGGTGCTGGTTGTGGGATAGGTTGTGTGGGTTAGGGTTTGGAGGGTTAGAGACGTCAAGATATGCAAGGTTAGATGTGAGAGTACTTCGGAAATATATGGTGAAAAGAGGAAAAAAAATCCAAGCTTTAAATGAGTATGAAAAGGTGGGTGTAAGAAGTTGAATTTGTGGTGTAAACATAGGCTCCCTTTTCGAACATGGCACCAAAAAATGTTGACATCGAACAATTTTTTTTCTGTTACTTAGATGGTTTATAATTGACTTTTTCTTATTCAATTTTTTGAAAGGGAAATGCATTATGTAATGTTTATACATTGAAATATGTGAAAATATTTAAAAACATATAGTAAAAAAATGTATGAAATTATGTCAAATGTGTATTGAAATTTTTAACTTTTTGACATTATTTGGTTTCTAACGAATTGCCAATGGATAGTTATTCACAAGACTCCTTTTCAAATCATAGGATATATATATATATATATTTTGTATGTTCATCAAACCTTGAGGGATATCTTTGGTATTTTGCTCTTAAAAATATGATAGAGGAATATTGGGCCACAAAAATGAAAACATAAACATAATGAAGGAAAATAAAGAAAAAAGAAAAGAAAAGAAAAATGTGCAAATGAAAAAAAAAATGTTGGTTTTAGGAATCCCAAATATCATGTGTTTCCATCGTTTAATCAAAGTATCTTAAAACTTCTGATATCTCAATGGAATGTTATAATCCTTTCAAATCAATGGATCCTTATTTGGTTTCTATTTATTTATTGTTTCTTTTCAAAATTTGGAATTATTAGATGGAAGGTTTAGTGAAGGTGTGAAAGAAGAAGGAATCAAATACTACAACACCTCATAGATTCTTGCCAATGGTTATTGATTCAACCTCGACTCTTTCATAATCTATTTAACAAG